TATGATGGAAGAGATTCGGTGAACTTGTCTATACCTCCTCCTGCATAGGTATGTGCATAGAAGTCTGTCAGATTTATGTGTAGAGAGATATTGCCCTGAATCTCTCCTCACACTTTGTTTTATCAAATGAGCAAATCAAAGATGTGTTTGAGAGAATGTATTAGTTTTTATTTTACTTCAACAAAAGGAGACAGGATTTTCACCAAAGTTTATATTATTAATACTCTAACAAGTATACCAAGCTGAGCAAATTGTTTTAAGACAATTTCTGCTGAAGACATTGGTAAGGATCATGGTTATTCATTTATGTTGATTGCTGTTTGAGGATATTCTTAGTGTAGAAACATTTATCAACTGTTTGCTTACATAGTAAAATTTGTTTTCATAATAAAGCTCTATTTCCTAAGTTTAAAATATTTTCTAAACTAGGGCACTGGAGTCCTATAGTAATATTGGCTTTGGAGCTCTTGTGTCCATGTCCCTATATAACTGCAGTAAATTAATCTTTCTCATTCATGAAGTAAATCTACCAGACTTTATCTCCTTTGTTGTTAAAGTGTTTCTCTGGTACCAGTTAATTGGACACATTCATATGTATCTCTGTTGTAATATATTAAATGTTTCAGAGGTCATCATACTCAGGTAATCATAACACAGGGACAATTAGTAATGGCAACTTTTTTGTTTTTAATGTTGATTTGGCTTTGCTACATTGTGTCCTTTAAGGGCCATATGTGATCACTAGTCAGCCATCTCCACTATGGAGCTATGGCAAGATTTCAGCATTCTTTAATGTTTTCATGGTAGAAAATCTTGAATTTGTATGTATGTCCAACAGCACCTTCATCTTTGTGTTTTCATCTTCTCCTGTTGAATTAATCTTCTGTTCAGTTAAAATTGTGTTGTTCCTTGTTTTGCATTTATATAAGAATTCATTGTTCGAAAACATATCTTTCTAAATGGATAATAAGCTTATGGTGAAAGATTAATTAGGAAAGGTTAACTAGTAGACAGTTTTAAAAATATAATTCATAATTTTAAGGTTTTATGATCATTTTCCTTCTGTTCATTTTAAAATTTACATTGAAAATGCTGTTTTTGAAAAAGCAAATGAGAACTATATACACATTCCTGGGTGAAAGAATGAATTTTTAAGTGGAATTAAATCTTTTAATCATTTTGGGAAGGAGGAGATGGAATATAAAGGCAGATGTTAACTAACATTTATTTTATTAAGTATTTGTACTACATGTAGTGCTGTATTATTCTGCTTTGTATTAAGTAGGTTTTGTTAACTATATGATAGGAAGAATTATTTGAAGTCATATTTACATGTGACTTTTCCTACTATTATTATTATGCTTCATTATTTAGTAATTTTTATAAATCATACTCTGGCTATCATAATTAAAAAGAGAAAACTGACAATAAGAGATTGTGATGTTAGAAAGATGTTACATTCCAGGAGGCAGAATAAAAACCAGAATTCTTTAAGGAAATAAAGAAGAAAAAAATTACCAGAGACTGTATTAATTAATCAATACTTTAAAATGTTAAGGTGATATTTTATTGATAGTATATTTATAATACACATGAGGCACTCTGCTTTAAAATATAGTTTAACAACCCAGCCGTGCTTTCACATTTTAGTAACTGTGTACTGAACTGTAGGATTTTGTCATTTTTTTAGTTTCAAAATGGTCTTCAGTAGTATAGGTCTTGAATTTTTCAGTTCATGAAACTGAAAAAAATGTTTAAATTTCAGATTTGACTCTAAGGTGATAAAAATGTAGTTGTGATTACAAATTAAAGATAATTTTGAAAGCAAGATAATTAACTGGATGAGTTTAAACAAGATAAAATGATTTATGGCCATTTTATAAAATAATGACAATCTTCATTTTAAGCTACAATGTAAAGTGCTTTATTCTGAGATTATGTATTGTGGCAGAAGCTAAAACTGCCTTTTTTCTAACAGTGCCAGAATACAACCTCTTTTTCTTTTTGCACTAACAAGACTGCTTTACCACCACAGCCCACTCTAAGTAATTAAATCAATCCTTTGTACTTACCGTATTCTCCTCTAGTGACGGTACTAGATCTGATTATATGCTTCATGCATATTCAAAGTACCGCACTGACAGCTCTTTAATGAGCTCTTACTTAATCAGTATGAACAATGTTCATCTTGTTCTTTTTTTTCCTCATGCATTAGAGCTAGGAACAGTTGGGAAAAATGAAACATCCAGCATTCATTTGAAAAATATATTGTACTTTGAAAAGTGTCTAAGCTGAGGAAGTTGCATTCTGCCCTTTAAAAGTCTGATGGACAAATTGGATTACTAGTATTGGATTAAATAACAAATGGTTGGAGGAGAAATGAGAAAAGCTCACTGTGATCACAGGCTTTAATATTTTTTGTTACTTATAAAGCTAAAGGGGTCTTTAACCAGTTATTAAAGTCAGGATTAATTTGTAATGGTTCAACTTACTGGCTTTTAAAAGCTTTTTAAATTTAAAAAATTTTAAATCCCTAAAAACAATAGTATAATGATGTATTAGAAGAAAATTTAATTTTTTTATTACTAGGCTAAGTATAGATTTCCATCATTGTGTACTATCTCAGATAAGGTGTTAGTGATGATTTAACCTCAAATACGTTTTTCAGTTAATTTATGTAATCTAGGTAGCACTGAATAGTATATCTTTAAATATTTCTTATTGTTTGGCTTATTCCCTTTTTAAACATGAGACTCTCCTCATTTCCTAATAATTAGGGAAGGTGCATCTTTTATTCTTATCTAGAAATCATAGGCATGAGCTAAACTGAGAATAACACAGTAGTACCACATCAATATTGTTGTTCTCAAGGAAGCAGTCTTCCATTGAAGAAAATGATGCTAATTTAAGAGTAGGCTAGATGCTTCTAGTATTAATGCCTGAAAGCCTGAATTACAGTTAAATTCAAAACAAAGTTTTAATATGTATATATTTTTAGAAATCACTGAGGTTATGAACACAAAAATTAAGTCTTTAATCAGAAAACAAAATATCATAAAAACGGCACCTATTAATATTGCACACATGTGTCATTTCACTGATCAAAAAGGCCTTCACCAGGGTACAATTGGCCTTTTTCCAAATTGCAAGCTTTTTCTCAGCTTTTTCTTTTTACTCTTTCTTCTTTTGTTGCTACCCAGGGATTTGTGCCTATCGCAGCCTATATCACATGACCAGTGTCAAGACATCACATGGTCCAAAGTGAATACAAAACCAGTTACCCTAAAAGAAAGATTAAAAGTGCTGTAAAACAGTAAAGACTTTTGTTCATACTCTAAAAGAATCTATCCCAGGTCTGCATCATATCATACAGTTTAACGGACTTTAATTTAATGAAAGCACATATCTCTCTTTTCCCTAATGATGAAAAACAGACATCCGATTTACAGGGATGCTCTGAAATACATGTTTAATCTTGCACACAGATCAGCTCTTTATATTCTATTTTCATTCTAAAACTTTCTTCAAATCTCTATTAATGTGGAAATAGTTAATTATGTCACATCCATAATTTATGCAACTATTACAAGAATGAAGTAGATCTTTGAACAGCATGGCAACAACAAATCAAGGGCCCTTATGTTAAAGAAAAAAAACCTGTATGTGTCCAGACATGGTATATACCTGTGTGTGTGTTAGACATAGCTACCTATGTGGGTCTGGAAGAAGATATACTAAATTGTAATAGTACTTCTGGAGAAGGGAGGTAGATAGGCAAATCAGAGAGGGTGGGGTTGGTAAAAGAGGACTTGACTTTTAACTCAATTATGTCTCTGTATTGCTTGAATATTTTTTAATGGACTGGTAGTGTGTTTGAAAGTTAAAAGAAAATATCTAAAGAAGAAGAATAAAACCTAGGAAATTGACTAGGATATTTAGTCTTAGCCTGGGATATTTAATTTTTTTGTTAGATATTTAAGTTAACCCTATGAATGTATCTAGAAGTTGGACTGAAGTATTAAATAATGGCCTAGCAAAACAATAAACCAATCATGGATGAAATTCAGAAGAAAACAAAGTCAAAGAATTATAAATTTGACGATACAATTTGAAGGCAGTTTGAAGGAAGAAGGTGGGGTATTAATATTTTTCTTAAGTATGATTGTGGCCTGCTTCTATATGATAATACCAAATATACGCTATATATTATAATCCTTTTGAGGGGAGGAGTAGTATAGATGATGGAATGGATATTAGGGAAAATGAATTTTAAATGTGTAATCAGTAAATTTATAACCTGACATTTAAAATCATCTCTCTGCTCAAATGTTTTCTCATTTACTGAAGATTACTATGTTCTTTTTTCACAGATAGATGTAAGTATTTTTGTAGCCTAGCCATTTACAATATATTTAAAACAATTTGCAAGTGTTTACCCTATTAGGGATGATGAGTTCTGGAAATGTATATGCATGTATATATCTTTAGTTTACTTTCAGGGAGGAAAATAAGAAAAAAAGCAGGTCATTACAGGCGGAAGCTCTCACAAAATCTCTTGACTTCTCTGATCTTCCTGCTAGTCGTGTAATTCTCATAATGATTTTTAATGTGTTTTTTAATTAATTTATTTATTTTTATCATGACCATGTCTGTTAGCTTCATGAGTTCCTCACTGAAATATAATAAAGTCACCCTCTGGGAAGGATTTAAAAGTTGGAACACTTTTTTTTAAAAAATGTACATTAGTATGATCTGTAGATATGTTCAGGGGACTGAAAAATACGTGCTGAATAATACCTCCTTTAGAGATTGGTTAATGAATTTTTAAATATTGATTCCTTTTTTCAGACCTTAATCTTACATATAAACTGTTGTAAACAGTTTAATTTGTACTATTGGGTTAGCTAAAATATGTTTCATGTTAAAAAAAAAAACAAGACTTGCGCTGAACTATTATTTGGCTTATAAAATAGAAAAAACAATAACTTCTTAAATTATAGGAAGGAACACAGAAGAAGAAGAAGCTATGATGCAGGAGTGGTTTATGTTAGTTAATAAGAAAAATGCCTTAATAAGAAGAATGAACCAGCTGTCTCTCTTGTAAGTATTTATCACTGCTTCTTTTTGCTACAACATTGAGGGATCTTAGACTTAGCTCTATCATTGTCTTTCTTGGGATTTCATATTTATTAGGCTTAATTTTTTTCTTTCCTAGAGATTATATTTTATATAAAAATAAAATTTAAAATCCTACATAACCAGTTTTTATTTGAAGAGTAATAATTTTAAAATAGAGTATTAGATACTGAAAAAAATGTATTTATTATACTAAAAGCCAAGTCATGTAAATAATTCTGGGGTTTAAGAAATCACTTGTGCACAAAAAAGGATGTTTGGTTTATACTAAAGAGAAAAAGAAAACTGAAGTTTATTTAACATCTAATTTTCAGTTAAAAATTAATTCTTAATAAGGACAAAAGTACCTTTGTATTCTACAGATAATGTTACCCTAAATTTTGGGATAAAAGACTAATAATTTACACAGAAGTGACCTTTTTATGACTCCAAGAATTATAGTAAAATGGAGACTAAACCAAATGTAAGCATTCTCAAGTCTTTAGCATTTAGTTCACATAGGACTTAATGCTTATCCCTTTTTCTCACTAGCAGTATTCTTATATTATGCCACCTAGTGTGGGAAGAAACAGGTTTACATTTTATTTTAGTGAAAACCTCTATTTTTGTCATTTCTGCAATGCTTTAACGTAATAGAAGAATTATGAAGTGCAGAACTTAATTAGTCCTGATTTTTTTATTGTCTCTATATTAAATTTGCACTGCTAGTATTTTCATGTTTCTTGTACTCTTTTCACATGGAGTTCTAGACAAAAAGGTGTTTATTGACAGTTATGAAAAGTAATTTTATGAAATAACTTTATACCTGGCACTTAAGACAAGAAGTGTTGAAGAATGAGATTACTTATCCACAGATTAAAATATACTTTTGTGCAACTCAAAATTGAAGGAGAAAAATAATACCATTAGTAAGTATTCAACCTGAGGAAGGTTTTAGGTTTGTGTATCATTTGTTTTGAGTAGCTTAAAGTTAAAGAGAAAAGTCAGTTATGAGTCCTAAAATCAATGTAACCTAAAGGTTTTTTTAAGTGTTTAATGATTTAGTAATTAGCATATTGATGAACTTTTGCAACTTGCCTAGGGAGAAAGAACACGATTTAGAACGAAGGTATGAGCTGCTGAATCGGGAATTGCGGGCAATGCTAGCCATTGAAGGTAAGAGACGCCATGGCCCAGTGAGGTGTGTAAAGGGTCAGTTGTCAAAGAGATTTAAAGAGTGTAATACACTTCGGTCTCACTAGGTGTGGTCTGACTGGGGACCTACAGGAGTTCCAAATAAATGTCTTAGATTCAGAATCCAATAGTCATGTAAAACCTTAGGACCCTAATTCAGATCATCATTTTGTTTACTATTAAACATAAAATTGTAAGCTTAAAAGTCCATTAAATAGAAAATATAAGTAGTTAAATGATTTCATTTTATGTGCAAGTTAAAGTTGCTTCCACTGCAGAGGTTTGAGAAAGATTCATCATTTTGATTTTTCACATTCAGATTCTAAATTTTACCTTAATATTTAATTGATGTCCATATAAATATGTCACTGTCCAGTCGTCTATAGTTCTTAAGATCCCAACTCTTATTAAGTAAATAGTCAAGCAAAGATTCAGGCAGGCATATGAGATAAATTCAACACTTTCACACATTATATGAACTTTCAAATGAATAACATATATAGTAATCCTAAGTATGGTTCACAATATCGATAAATATCAGCTGGCTTAAGTATGGCATTTATTATATATGGTTATTTTTTTAATTCTTTGGTATTTTAGAATGCTGTTCTCCTTATACCTTTTAGTTGAAAATGTCTTATAGTTCAAAGATGTCTGCTTAAGAGCTAATCCTTTGGGCTCTGTAAAATGGACCTTTTGTCTAATCAATGCAAATTGATTTTCCTATTCTATATTGACCTCTTAACCTACTGACTGTCCATGGTAATTTCTTTCTTCACCTGATAAGGTACCTGATGTATAAGAAGTCAATTATAATTAGTTCGGAAACTAGAAATTTAAGTTTATACGAGAAAGTCAAATGAAACCATATTCTTTAAATAGTTTAATTAATATTGTTATTAAATAAAACACATGCTATTTATCCAAATACTATCTTCTACATTTATAGAAGCTTTATTTTTACTATGACATTTGTATATCCTAATTTAGAAATTAGATTTACTTTATTTAAAAGGCTTCAGATAACTAATTTTCTTCAAGTGGCTGTCAAATTATACCACTAATGACTATAAAATTTGTCAAAATTATTTAAGAAGTTCCATGAAACTTGCCATTGAAATAAAATGCACAAATATACTAAGTGGTATTTTTCCTCTTGATACAATTTTTGTTTTCATGATATAGTCTTTAAAAGAGATTGGAAAGCTTAACAGTCATTTGAAAAGTAGGTATAGCAAATTCTATTTATATGATATTTATATGTATAATATAATATATATGTGTATATAGTATGTATAATGTATGTATAACTCTTATAGTTTATTCTTTATAGATTCATTATGCTCAATACAGAATATTACAATTTTTTACAATTTACTCTCTCATGTATAGTAAGTTAAATCATCCCTAAGATGCAGCTTGATACAATACAGTTGACTTTTAAGGCAGATCCTGCTTCTGTCCAAAACCACTATTATTACCACATAGTACCGTCTTTAAGGAGGACCATGATATGTACAAAACATCCCAGTTTCATTGGCAACCTATCCCTATGTAGTAGACCTTCAGTCTTAATTAAATAATCTAAAATTTTTCTGCCTGACCCTCTTGTACACATGAAAGAACAGTAGAAAGTATTTTTGAAGAAGAGGGGAAAAAAGAGTGTTTTTCTTTTCAGACACCTTTAATGCAATTGTTACTTTTTTTAGGATTTGTTTTATTTTTTAATTAATGCTATTGTCCCATATCTGATTGTGCCTTAAATCTCTCAGCCAGTTTCTGTTGTTGGTTGACAGGAAAAAGAGGCTTGAGGAAAGAAACAGCCTGTTGATTACAAATAAAGACACTTTCTCAGAGAAAGGCCTGCCCCACTAGCCTGGGCAATATGTGGCGTGGGCTGTCATAAAGAAATACTGGTCATCATGATGATCAGTTCTTTGAAGACGGTGTCCTCTGAGCCAGCTCTTAGAATGGATACACATGCAATTCAGTAGTCTTTCGGAACATTAAATCGCCGCAGAAAAACACATGAACAGGCAACACTGATTGGTTTTGTTTTGCTTTCCTTTGTTTTAAAGTTCCTTTCTCTTTTCTTTCCCATCTCTTCTTCTTAGTAGCCATGAGATGTTTTTCATAATAAATAAACCAAAATATTTTCAAATAAATCTGCTAGTGAAACCATTCACCAGGAGAAAGCACAGAATATTAATAGCCATAGCACAATGAAAGAAATATTAACAGCTTGGTTTGAGAGCAAAATAATAATAATAATAACATTCAATATATCCATTCTTTGGATAATCCAAAGAATCCATAATCACTTTGGCCTTTTTTTACCTTTTTCTTTTCCCCTGAGGTGTTTTCATTGCAGGAGTTTCACTCTACTGAGCTAAGTTGCAGGATCCTTTAAGCTAACACACATCTTTCAGATACTTTCCTATAGTTTTTTTGTTCCAGATTATTTAATGCCCCCTCAGGAAAGATAAATTCATTTCTGCACACATTGGGGTGGGCTTTTGGAAAGTGGTGTGTTCATTTTCTGCACAAGAAATGGATCTTCTCTAGGATTTTGTACATCTTGATTTATTCTTGGCTTAGAGTTTGAAGTGGGTGCTCTTCTAAAGGGATTTATGCATAGGTTCACTATTTTTGTAGTTATGGCTTATATGATAAGCTTTTTATATTTAAAATCAATATGTAATCCTGTGGAGGAGCTTATCCCCTAAAACCCCATTTGTAAATCTATTTTAGCTTTGTTACACAGCACAGCCACAGTCTTCCATAGATTGATTAGGTACAGCGGTAGAATCCTATCAAATGGCCTGCTCTGATGATGATGCAAACTCTTTCAGGATTGCTAGTTGACTGGAACTAAAGATAAGACTTGACTGCAATCCCCCAATGTGCTCTTTACAAAACTAGTGTTAATTTTCATCAAAGTGCCAGGCTTATTTATAGTGGCAAGGTTGAAGGTTTACTACAAGAACTTTAGGTCCTTTCTATTAAAGTGTTTATAGGTATTTCTTTGCCTTTTTTCCAAGGTAATTACCAACTTCAGCAAATAAACTGAATCGGGGAATGAATAATTGGCCCTATATATAAAAAAAGAGTTTTTTGAATTAACGAAACAGCTCAGTGCAGATAGACATAAACAGAATCTCTTTATTTCAACACTTTGGCTCAAATGCAGCATCAAAACTTAATCCTATTTGTTGTGAGAGGATATGGCTTTTGTAGCAAAAGTACACTGGAATCTTTAAATTAATCAGAACCCACATTGTAGTCTGTCCAAGCCAAAGTCAGTGCATCTGGCTAGCTGTTATAGGTGAGTAATCCTTTCTTAAAATGTATAACAGGTAACACATAAACTTACATTCAGGCTTTAAAAACACGACATTATGTCTAGGTGAAGCTATTTAAAGGGGGATTTAAATTTTTTTTTTTTTTTTTTAATTTAGGCCTTGAACATACAAATGTGAATCTTGGTCAGTTTGAAAGATGTTATTAAATTTTTTTAATTCATCAAAATTTAACTTCCCAAATTACCATGTGTATCAATTTAGTCCTGTGAGAAAACAAACCCAAAGTAAAAGTAGTTTTGCTGGTGTAAAATCTACTCACTGCACATAGCTTTTTTTCCCCACAATTTGACTAATTATTTGTAGACAGATATTAATGTGGTAATGACAGATTTAATATGAAAAATCTTATAAATGTAATCTGAAATAATTAAAATTTAATGTCAGTTAAATTTGTAAGATGATGAAAATTACCTAAATATTCATAACTTAAAAAATGTTTTTGTTACAGTTATGGGAAATGTCATTATTGAGGTAGGAGAAAATTAAGATTTTTAAAACTATTCAATACTTAAGGGACTAAAAATATAAAATTTTCTCTCATATTGTTAAAACCTTATTTAAAAAAAAATAAATCTTGATATTTCTAATTATTAATTAAAACCTTAAAAGTGGCTGGCCAAGTATAGAGAAGGAATAATTTAATTAATTAAGATTATGTCATTAAAATTATTTTCTTAGTTTAAAAAATTTTGTAATTTTCAACTTAATTATATGTCTTGAGTTTATGGTGGAGAAATTTTATTTCCCAGTATTAAAGCTCATCAAAATGTTTTGGAAGTAAAGAATTATAAATTAAACTTATAATCAGAATGATTTCTTGAGGTCAGAAATGGAAAAATTATTTATCAAAGTTGGTAATCTTAATAATTATAAAATTTAGTTACAAATCTTTTACAAATTTAGCAGGTTTTTCTCAGAGTTAATACTTCTAGAACTATAGTTACCTGAAATCAGACCAGATGACCTTTAAGATCTTTCCAACCTGGAGAGTCTATTAATTTATCTGCTGTAGTAGAATGAAACTGATTAAGAACAAGAACCAGATTAGAAAATTGTCCAGCATTCCTGACCTCAGTTGCATTTAAATCTAAGGAATAAAATTGTGATAGATATGGCTTTTCTTCAGTTTTGGTGTTTCGTTATTATTTTTTAAATTCTTACATTCAGAAAAAAGCTTTCCATAGAAATAGTTTATTTCTCTCTATGCAATTGAACACTTTTTAAAATAAGAATGTAATGTGACCAATTATTTAATGTACCTATTTGTGTGATGTTTTGTATCAAATGAGGATAATTAATATATAGCATGTTTAATATATATGTGTGTACGTATTTGAGCTTATAGTGATAGAAATAGTGATAAAATAGAATATTCTAGTTTTTTGCTGCTCTTCTATCCTTTATTGCACGATGATGCATCTAATTTTTAATTTGTAAATACAAGATAGAATTCCCTCTAGCTCCATTTGCTTTCATAAAGCTGCTGAGCAGTTTGCTGTCTTGAATAAATTTTGCTTTGGAGGGGGTCGGGGGGATTTGAACCAGCACATTCTTGTGCGGTTTGTGAAGATTCACATGGTAACCAGCGGTGTGCATTGTTAGGTTTATCTGAATAAGCACCAGCCATGTGAGTTTTAACATGATTGCCCAGGGCAATGGAGAGAGAAGAGAGAAACCAGAAAGGATTGCACTCCTCTGTTTTTTGGAAAGTGCGTTTGCTGGGGGAGGGAGCTACAGGAGTCAGTGGCCAGGGTATTTTTTTTCCCCCAAGCTGGTGTCCTCTTTCCCTTTAGGTCCTCATTTGTTCGGCTATCTGCCTCATCATCTACTTCTTCTTTTCATTGTTTACCTTCCTAATGAGGGAGGCGGGGTAGACTGGGGGTTGATTGACAGCTACAAGCCCTTGCAGTCTGGCCGGAGAGCAGTTGGCTTTGGTTTCAAAAGTGCTTTAAATGTTCGATTTGGTCCTGTTTTTATTAAACGAAACTGCTGCTCATCTTAAGGAAATTATCAGACCAGCAAAGATTAGGAAATATATGATTGGGGCCTAAAATCTTCAAAAAACTGCCCCTACACATGGAAAGAACACGGCCTGTCGGATTTTCCAACCTTAACATGGGGTTTCAAAAAGAAGTATGTAATTTTTCCTTTGCAAAAGTGCTTTGATTTGAAACCACGCAGCAAACCTCTCCAAAAGAAAACTGGCTGTGATGCGATCGAGAGCTGCAGTGTAATATTGCAGAGCAAATTTATTTTTTACTTCAAAGAAAAATGCTAATTAGCCGATTCACTACTTTTAAAGTTATTGTGAAGCATATGGCGCCCAGTGTGAGATACATCCAACTGCTAAAATAGAGCGGAGAGGAAATTAGCGAAGAATGGGCTGTATGGAGTGAGCATGGGGGTGGGGGAGGAGGATAGGTTCTCAGGCAGATTCTCTAGCCTTTTCAGGAGGATTTTATCGCCCATCTCTGCTTCCCGCCTCCTCATTTACCCACATCCCCCACCACCAACCCTCCGGCTGACCTCTTCTGGGCCTCCAACTCTCCCTCCCCCACTTGGGCTGAAATCAGGTGCGCGCCTCCGGCTGACCACCGGCACACACCTGGTTTCGTGAAGGCTTCAACCTGGCCCTAGCTGTCTCTTATCTACGGAAAATACTTACAAAGTACGGTTTTAGGGGTGAAATCCTCACCACGACGGCCAAACGCCCCGTGAAACACTACTAGCTAGTGGCTCTGTGATGTTTTGCACAGAAATAAAAGGGAACTGGAAAAGGCGGGAAGGGGAGGGTAAGGTGGGTAAGGAGCCTCCTGTCCTCTGCAGACTGGCAGAAGACCGAGGCCCAGAAGCGACGCGAGCAACTCCTGCTGGATGAACTGGTGGCCCTAGTGGACAAGCGCGACGCGCTCGTCAGGGACTTGGACGCGCAGGAGAAGCAGTAAGTGGGTGGTGGGGTCGGGGAGTTCTATCCAGAGGTCTCCAGTGGACCGGGGCAGTCTCCCCCTGGCCCTGCAGTCCCGGTTCCCTCTGGGGCTTGGAATTAGGAGCGAGAGGGGAGTGCCGCTCTGTCCTCGACGAAGAAAAATAATTTGGTTTCCTGTTTGATTTCCAGGGCTGAAGAAGAAGATGAACATTTGGAGCGAACTCTGGAGCAAAACAAAGGCAAGATGGCCAAGAAAGAAGAGAAATGTGTCCTTCAGTAGAAACCGGACCAGACCAACATTTTATTAGCCTTGGGTTCCCCAGACCATAAAAAAAAAGTCATTCTCGTTGATTTAAAACTTTTAACATTTTGTTTGACTGGATTGTACTTCTTTACCACCACCACCCCTTTTCCTCCCTCCTTTCCAGATTTTGTACAGAACTCCGAAATAGCTTTGTTTAAGGGTTTTTTGGTGTGAATTAATCATTTCCTTGAAATCATGTGAAGTAGATTTGCACAGACATCTTGTGAGTGATTGGTATTGGGAGTGTTCAAGAAACTGTTCAAAGAAAGAAAACTCTTCCCTCATTATTTTCCCTCATTTTTTGATGGAGGAAAATTTTAAAACAATTTTGTTGTTGTTGTTGATGTTGTCGTTAATAGCATAATGAGGTGGGAGGGGGCTTAAGAGGGAGGGATAAAGAAAATGTCATGGATGATTTTTTTCCAGTCCTGCCATATGTAACACTGAGTCTGTTACCTAAATTTTATAGTTAGATCATATTCAATTTACTTATTAAACTGTGTTCTGTTTACCAGTGAGATTTTCTGCAGTTGTTTTACATTTCATTGTAAAGATAATAGAGTACTTCTCCTCTGCTTTCTTCAGAGGGTGGCCTTTTAACATAGCCTGAGACAAGTCCTGTGATTTGAAGGTGAGCTGTAAGAATGGGACTAGTTGACATGCATCAGTTTACAAAGACAGTCTTATCATCTGAGAATGCACCATCTTTTTCTCTGGATAATTATTTATTACATCTAGCTTGGTTCCCACATTTTGTTGGATCTCAAAATTGGCTCAAGAATGCTGTTATTATTTATTCTGTATTGATAAAATCTGTCTTGCCATTATTGAGTAAATCCTCCAATTAATATTTTCTTCTCTAGCATAGCACTGTCTTTTTTTGTGAAAATGGTTATCTGTTTATTTATTACAATACTGAGTCATATATAAATTTTCAATAAAAGCAGAAACTTTCTTACCTTAAACACTGCTGCTACTTCTTTGTAATGAAAACTTGACACTGGTTTGAGAGAAGTTTTTGTATTCATAAGACTTTTCATGTGGGAAAAAAAAAAAAAAAAGGTCCTCTTGAATGCAGGGCAGGATACTGGGCTGTATTTGGATCTGAATAAGTTTACACCCCAAAGGGGCCCTGCTGACACACCAATGTGAATTGAAAAGCAATTGGTCATATTTTCTTAAGCTGTGTAAACAACCGTGTATTAAAGGGTCATCTCTGTTAAAGATTTGAGGAAATTTGTGAGTACACAGCACTGGGGGGAAAAAGCTAATATGTTCTAATTTGCCGTAGTTATAATTTTGCACTCATATGAGGAATAACTATGACTTCTGATAACCCTCCAGACTGTAGGTGCTGCAGTGAAAGGAAGAGGGGTTATTGTTGGGGGGGGGGGAGAAAGAGGGTGTGTGCAGGTTTGTGTGTATGAGATGAGGGAAAGGGAACTTTTAACAAGTTCTAAGCTACAGAAAAAAACCTGGCGATTTTATGGTAGTTTCCATCAGTCTACCAAGGTGACTGAAACAAAGCTCGTTCAACAAGTCTGGAGACAGAGAAAACAGTCCACTAGCATTTATAGTTAACCTCGATCATAATGCGTACATATACATACAAATATACCAATACACACAAATTCCTTTCAAAAAGTATGCAGCCGCCAGTCTTTCAAAATGGCAAAAACCACCCTAAAGTAGAATTTCATGACAAGAATTTAAGGAAGTTACTGAAAAGTCACCAGAACTAAATGAAATCGGGATTTGCCCTCTTCATTTGAGCAGGAGAAAAGAGAAAGCTACGCTCCCTGAGGGAAGAAGCTCTCAGGGCCCGGCTCTAACCCTAGGGAAACCGGCAGACGGAAGCCTCCAGCCCGGAGCAGCCTGGGACTTGGGCGACCGGCGTCACCCACTCCATTTACACAGAATTCGAATTCCGGGAACCTTCCCTCCCGCGGAGCCTCGCCGAGAGGGGGCTCTCCTAAACCGCTCCCGACCTGCCAAGGGACAAACCTTCGCTAGCCCCAGACTTGCTACCCCTCTCCCTGCCCCTCCTGCCTCAGCCCCGAGCCTCGCGGGGTTTCCTTTCGGGCTGCTTTGTGGCGACGGCACGCCCCGCAGCGGCCCCCGGGGAGCGGCGCGGCCGGGCCCGCGACGAAGGCGCCGCGTCCGGATGTCGTCGCGTGGTGCCCAAAGTCTTGCCTCCCGGGCGCAGGCGCGAGCCCAGCACGTCCAGAGGCCGTGGACCCGAAAGCCCGCGCGGCTGCAAAAGAAGCTGTGGGCCCGGGGATCGCCGAGGTGGAGGAGGAGTGTTGGCAGCGGGCTGGCTTGGGCATAGCCCCGCGGGCCGGTGCAGAACTTCCGCCCCTGGCCGGGATCCCACGGCCCCGGAGCCAAACCCCTCCCCCGTCCCAAGTGTCCTCCACAGAGTCTAGCCCAGCCTCGAGGTCACCTGGATGCTCAAGCCAGGGCCCAGCTCCCACGCCCCCTCCTCGGCCCGGGGGCCTCGAGCTGAGTCCACCGGCTCTCCCCAGGCAAGGGCCCCCTCTTCCCCTCCCCGACCTGCGGCCGTTGCTGGAACGGTCGAGGCTTCAGGCCCAGCGTCTCCCACCTGGATATTTGCCTAGCGACGTGCTGCCTGAGTCCTTTCCGCCGCAGACAAGAAACTTTCATCTCAATCTCCCCCTCTTCACTCTCCTCCCTCTCTCCCCTCTCCTCGCTCTCTTTTTCTTCTCTTAATCCCGGGGTTTTACGGGTTGAGCATTAAGAAAATACGCCTGCAATTTGGGATTAGATAAATACTCTCATTAGGGGACAAAAAATTGTGCTACTTGATACCTCCCAACTTCCCCGAGACCGCGGCCGCATCTGGAACCGAGAGAGCCTGGCTCCCGCGTGGAGGGCCCTGGGGACCGCCAGAGCACATTCCAGAGCGCACAGCCGCCCCACCTTGCCGGACCTCGGCCCAGCGCCGCCGCTGCAAGCGAAGAGAGGCCGGGAGGAGGCGGGAGGACGAGGGTTTGGGAGACCCGGCACGCACCGAGGCCTGAGAGGGCTAACCCAGGCAAACAGCGCGCAGGCCCCGGCCGGGATAGCGCCGGGATAGAGGCGCGGAGCCGCAGAAGCTCAGGGAGTGTGCCCAGCGCGCCGGCCAACTCTCCCCGGCAAACTAGTGCGCTTCAGCCAGGGTTTTTCCCCAGAACCAAAGGCGGGGGCTACATTTCGTTTCTTTCTTTAAATCTCTGCGTATTTCAGGGGCTCGGAGCCCAGGGCCTCGCAACTATTCCCCCGCGGGGGCCTGCGCGAGCCTAAGGTGTGTCCCCGCTCGAGTCAGCGCTGCGCTCTGCGCAGTTTCTTTTCCTGTTAAGGCTTTATCTTGTTCGTGTTTTTCCTTTTCTCTCGTTCTTTTATTGTTTTCGCTCTCTCTTTCTCTTGCTTTTGTGAATGGGCCGCGGTGTCTTTGTTCTGGAGAGAAGCGCCCGTGTCGCTGACTTTTGTGAACCAGAGAAGGATCTTGTAAAACCTTTTCTCCTTCATACTCCCCCACACACCCCTCCTCTTTTGCCCCTTTGATTAGATGTTCCCTCATCGTCAAAAAAAAAAAATGTAATTTCGTTAGTCTGGCGGCCACTTTCTTTGAACATTAGCTCGCTTTCAGCTCCAACTTCAATTAGAAGGAGTTGATTTTGAGAGATCAACAAAAGAACCGACCAAAGCCTTATTAAAGGTCCTAAGAAGATCTCCCGGGTTCTTTGAGAAGCAGTTAAGGAAACAGTGTGCCCTCCATCATATTCTGTTACCGTATTTTATTCGGACTCCAAAGGAAAGTGTCGCTTGGGGGAGGGGAAGCACTTTGATGAGCGGCGGCCGCGGCCCCTTTTCACTCTGCGGGCTCCCCCTTCCTCCTCCGCCACCTCCTCGCCCCGCGCCGGTGCGCTCTCGGTGCCCTGGCCCGCGGCCCCGCAGCGCCGGCGCACCCCACCGCGAAGCGCCCGGCGGCTCCCTGACTCGCCCTCACACTTATTCCGGTTCAAACTTTTCACTCCGCCTGTTGAGGTGGAGGGGAGGGGGCGGGGGGAGATTAAGAAGAAGCGGTAGGAATTCCTCGAAAGGGGGTAAGTAAAGTCGTGGCTAATATTCAGGAGGAGGTGCCATTTAAAAGAATTGCCTCACTCAGTGTTGGGGCGCACACTTTTTTCCGCTTTGAAAAGTCCACCCAGGTAGACGTGTTTTGAGAAGTTTGTTCGACTGGAAAATGGGCTTCGCCAGTACGAACTATCCGGGGAGATCGCTCAAGGAGGCTCCGGCGGCATGAGGGAAGGAAATTGAGGGCAGGGTCTATGGCCACGTTTTCCACCAGACTGTCCCTAGTAAAAGGAGCCAGTGTGAAAGACAAAGTTTTCTATCCAAACCTTTCCATTCAGAAGTACAGTGTATGTGTAAAGGGGAGGGGACGCTGGGAGCCGACATTTCAAAAGAAGCTTTCAGGATTTGCAAACACCTATTGTGGGGACTGGGAACCGCAGGAGACGTTGAAGAGCAGGTAAGTGGCCGTGCCTCCCCTGCGGGTGCAGCTCACGGGCACCGGAGTCCTGAGGCGCGGAGGCGGGATCTGCGCACTCGGGGCTGCTCCCGCGCTCAGCAAAGTAGCCCGGACCAGCACGAGCCGCCCGCCGCGTGCGTCTGCGGGTGGTGGCGCGGTGCGTGAAGACTCTGGGGACCGCGGCGTCGGGAGAGGGGCCGGAGGCCCGTTTCCCTCCAGCCCGCAGCTCCCGGCTCCTCGCGCACATCGGGTGGCGTGCCAGAGAGCGAGGGAACCGGTTCTCCAGCACCTCGCCTCCTCTCTGCCACTCCCTCCAGGGCGCCAAAAGGGCGAGAGAAGGGCGGGGAGCCCCGGGGCGGCCTCAAGGCCAGCGTTCCCCTCCGCGGCCCGGGCTCCCGCGCGGCGCTCGCCTTGCCTGTCTTGCTCTGCGCTGCGTTTGCCAGTCTAGCCCCGGAGTTAGCGCGCGACCGGGGCGGGGCGGGCGGACGGTGAGGGCGGGGTGCAGGGGGCGGGGGAGGGCGGGGGAGCGCGGAGGTAACCCCCGGCTCGTGCTGCCATTGCCCGACTCCCTGTCACTCAGCCCGCGCGGGGCCGGGGATTGGCAGCCTAGCCCCGTTACGCACTCACCTCGCGTTCACATACCCGGGGAGGGCAGTAGAAAGGTGATCAATCTTCATCAGGCTACATTTCCAATCACCTAAACAACCCGGCGAGACAAGCCACTCCGACAAGGTAACTCGCTTGATTTATTTAGTTTGCAAAGTGCCTCTGCAGGACTTCCCCAGCCCCCACCGCCTCCACGCTGCACGGAGTGCCACCTCGAGCCACCTCCCAGCTCTGCCCCTCTCACCCCCACCTTCTCCTTGCGGCCCCCTCGGTGAGGTCCCGGGCGAGGCACTGTGTCGGGAGCGTGTGGGGCTTTGCAAACAAAGTGTGCAATAAAGTGAAACCTGGAGGGACACGCACAAAGCCACTGGAAAGAAAGAGAAAGGGAGGAGGGAAGTTGGGGAAAGAAAGAAATCCGGCGGGTCCCTGACCCACCGCCCGGCCCCGCGGGTAATTCCTGTGCCGCTCCGTTTTGCAGGTTGGCCGCCCAGAGGGTCTGTGTGAGGGCGTGAGGTAGATGGTGAGCGGCCCCGGCAGCTGAGGGCAGGTAAGGAGAAAGCCGCTGGCCGCCCGGGGCTCTGGGAACGCGTCGGTGGCTCTTGCCTCCCCCTGCTCAAACTGGTCCCCGCTTCCCTGGTCCCTGGCATCGGGGGCGGGGCTGGGAAGCCACCTGGCTCCCCTCTTGCTGAGCGGAGGACCCCGGAGCTCCGCTGCGGCCCCGCACCCCTCCCCCGCCTCCTCCGAAGTAACCCAGCTGAAGTGCTAAGTTTGAAGAAAGTCTTTGAAAACTCACATTGCAGTCTAGCAGAGTCGCCACATTTGAGTCCCATTCTCCCTTGGCCCCGGCTCTTTCCCTTCCGCCGCCTTCCCTGCAAACCGAGTTCTCCCGGCCGAGACCGTGGGTCCCTGGGGAGAGGAGTGGGAGACTTCTCTAGCTCTAACTTCTTTCTTTCCCTGAACTCTTTAAGTTCCTGTGAAGCGGGCTAAAGCGACAGGTTCTCTGGGATCTCCGTCCCACTCTTCCAGCGCTACTTCCTGACTCCTGATTGTAGCACCTCAGTTTTGGGGGCAACTTGGGGAAGCCAGGCGTCGACCTTCCTGCCCGGGGCAGCGCGAGCTACGCCGCAGAGGCCTAGTTCTCTAGTTTGGATTGGGTCCTGGGGCGCCGGTTCAGCTAGTAGGATAAGCGGGAAGCGCATCAGACCTTACTGCATTGAGGCTTCCCAAATCCACCAGACCCTTGGGGGGCTGGTCAGGTCACCTTTCGACCCCGGCCGGGACCCCATTGTCCGCAGCTGGGACCGACTTGCTCTGGGGAAGCACGGCCTGCGGCTGTGGAGAGGTGCGGGTGATTTCGGGCGGCGTGTTAGAACCGCCACCTGTACGGTGGCGGCTTCTGGTCGCCTCAGCCGGACCTGGGCTCGAATCGGTGGTCGAAGTGTGGGTGGGATTCCGGGTAAGCAATCTCTCAGCGGCCATGCACAGGGAGGTAAGCCGGAAGGGCGGCTGTGGGCTCTAGGCCCGGGACCCAGCCGCGGAGACTCTGGAAGGAGGTACTCAGTGGGCAATGCGTCCCGGAGAGGCCCAGGTGCCGCGAGCCCTCCGCAGTGCCTCACCTTGGCTCTCTGGAGTCTACCTGTTAGTCCCACTTTCAAAAACATTTGAAACAAAACGAAACAACGCCTCATGCTCTGGGTCTCCTTCCGCCTTGAGGTCGAGGGGATGTTTGCTTGTGTGGAGTGATGCCCTCTCCCACCGGACAGATTTTTGCCTAGTCTTGGGACCTCGCACACACTGCGGTTTGGGCTCTGACCTCCCAAGTTTGCCCCTGATTTAAACCTCTTCTCACTCCTAGCGTCGCCCTACGAGTGTCTGGTCCATTCCAAGCCCGAAAAGAGGTAATAATGATCCAGAAATTTTACTTTTCAAAGAAGCTGTGGTTTTGGGGCTAAGGACTTATAGAGCCGAGTTCTGCACAGATCCATAGCCTGCGTCACCTCCCCATTCTTTGACTCCTTTCTCCAGCAAGACCAGGAAGCCGTGAAGGCTTGGAATGACGGTTTCGGTGTGTCTCATGTCTCCATAGGCCGGGCCCCCAGACGCAACAGAGCTTGAAGGACTGCGCAGTGGGAGCCCCGCACTGCGCCTGGCCCCCGGCCCCCTGGATCCGTCGGGGCGCCTCCACCCAGCTGTTAGCATGATGTCTTACCTCAAACAACCCCCATATGGTATGAATGGGCTCGGTCTAGCCGGGCCAGCCATGGACCTCCTACACCCCTCCGTGGGCTATCCGGGTGAGCATCGACCCCCCACACCCTCCTCCCTTAGAAATCTGGGAAATCCCCAGCCTCTGGGTTTGAGCACAAATCTTGTCCCAGATTAGGCCCAGGGAACCGGTTGCCTAGTCTCTTAAGTGCAGGGCGCGCTGACTGGGAGAGCAGATCTTAGCCGGGAAGTAGGGCCAGGGTGGCTAAGACGTGAGACGTGAGCCCTCCAGCCCGGCCACACGGGCTTCTCTCCAGTTGTCAGGCGCATTTACCCACGGATTCGTTTCCCATGGGTGGGTTGTGTGTGAGAGAGAGAGATTGAAAGAATCTATGCCTTTCCCCCTCAACACTAAACGAGGAATGTGGACACTCGCTTGGCCCTCACAGGAAGGGCCGAGCTTGCCTTATGCAAAGCGACTGGCTGAGGTAAGGTAGAGGGATTCTTCCTCCTTAATTAAATTGTCCTCTAGATGGGTGGCCTGCACCAACTTCTGCACTGTTGATGTGGACGACTTGAGCCAAATCCTGGCCTTCTTGTCTAGGTTCCGTTTCTTCATCTCCATTTATTACCTCGGAAAGTGTTTTCCAGGACATGTTTTGGCACACCCCTTCCCCACCCTCCAGTCAGGGAGAGTGCTGACAGGGGGGCAGCGAAGGAAGAAAGATCGTATAACTTCTCTTCCTTTCTTAACCTCTGAGAGGCAGGGAAGGGGGCAGCCCTGGAGTGTCGGAGACAATCAGGAGTGTCGGTGTGCCAATCAGGCACACCTGCAGTTTCTCCCACCTGTGGCCTGTCAGGCTCGCTTCCCTGGGGAGTTCTTTTTTTTGTTCGGAGCTCGGCTTTCTTTTGCAATGACCTGGTCCAGGGCCTGCGAGGGTCCTGTCCGTATCCTCTAGCGCGAGTCCGCGTAGCCACCACTGACCCGACGCGCCCCGCGTTTCCCTTCAGCCACCCCGCGGAAGCAGCGACGCGAGCGCACCACCTTCACGCGCTCTCAGCTGGACGTGCTCGAGGCGCTCTTCGCCAAGACTCGCTACCCAGACATCTTCATGCGCGAGGAGGTGGCGCTCAAGATCAACCTGCCAGAGTCCAGAGTCCAGGTGCGCGCGCGCGGGGTTTCCAGGGTCCGGGGAGGGGTGCTGGGCCTGGTTGGGAAGTGGTCTGGTCTGAGGGCGGGCTTACAGGCTGGGCAGCCCCTCTCAGACTCCCCCTAGCGCTGGGCCCGGGCCTGGCAGAGGGGCCAAAATTAAACGTACTACCTTAGAGCCCTGAATTGGGCCCTTGACCCCGGGGCGCCTTCGCTCTCCGAAGTCTTTTTTAGGATTGCAGGAGGCCAAGCCCGACACTTGTCCCCTGCCTCTTCGGCCACCCCAGGGCCTGGCAGTTTCCTTCAGGGTCTTGAATTCTGCCTCCGCCCTGTCCTTGTATCCCGGGAATCCTGGAAATGAAAGAGTGGGGCTTGGCCAAAGCCTGGTCCCCTGTCTGGAAGTGTGCCCCACGGGTGGCGGCAGTGTGATTAGACCTTTCCCTTTGCTCTGAGAGGATGCTGAACGCAAAATCTGGCTACCAGCTTTGCTCTTTCTGGGTTGTTTTTGTGGTTTTTTTGTTTTGTTTTGTGTGTGTGTGTATGTGATGAAAGCCCCCCGAAAATACTGTTAGGATCATAACTCAGAACTCTTCTCAAAGGCCTTTTATCTTGCCTTTTTCCTCCCAGAGGCTCAAGAGAACAGGAATGCCATGTTTTGTACCCGGGCCTTCCAAAGGAGTGAGAACTTTGTGACTGTCTTATTTGGTTCCCCACTTGGAGCCAAGAAGTCCAACGAAATTCTGTTCAGGCTTCCTTCCGTAGTCCCCCTCTAATTCAGCCTCCTGCTCCCACCCAAATTCTCTCCCGGCCCAGCACCAGGCCTCCAAGGGGCAGAGTGGCTCCGGCTTAGACTTGGTGACTGCCCCCCATTCCGCGGCGTGCTCTGTGCCTCTCCGCAGTTTCCCGAGCTCTATTCACAGAAGACAGGGCCTCCATACATTCATAGGTCTGCTGGGAAGCGGCCAACAGCAGCAGTTTAGAGATGGCTGAACTTCTGGCTGGACAGACACAAATGTTCCGCCCTCCGACAGAGTTGAGCTAGGGGTGGGGGTGGGGAGGTGCACATCCCTACTTTGCCAGAGGAGGGTCTTTGAGCAGAAGGATGGGGGAGGGTGGAGCAGAGAATGCCGGGTCTGGCCGGGTCGGAGATGGGGAAGGGGGATGGAGATGGGGAAGGGATGGAGGCGGAGAGGGATACGGTTCCTAGGCCGAGGCGGTGCAAGAGGCAGGGGAGTGGCAAGTGCTACTCGCCCCTTCACACGCTCTTCTCCACTCGGCCTGCCGCAGGTCTGGTTCAAGAACCGCCGCGCCAAATGCCGCCAGCAGCAGCAGAGCGGGAGTGGGACCAAGAGCCGCCCAGCAAAGAAAAAGTCGTCCCCGGTGCGGGAGAGCTCGGGCTCCGAAAGCAGCGGCCAGTTCACGCCGCCTGCTGTGTCCAGTTCCGCCTCGTCCTCCAGCTCCGCATCCAGCGCCTCAGCCAACCCCGCGGCGGCAGCGGCTGCAGGCCTGGGCGGGAACCCGGCGGTGGCGGTACCGTCGTCGTTGAGTACGCCTGCTGCCTCCTCCATCTGGAGTCCGGCCTCCATCTCGCCCGGCTCAGCGCCCGCTTCAGTGTCGATGCCCGAGCCTTTGGCTGCACCCAGCAATGCATCGTGCATGCAGCGCTCGGTGGCCGCAGGAGCCGCCTCGGCCGCAGCCTCCTATCCCATGTCCTACGGCCAGGGCGGCAGCTATGGCCAGGGGTACCCCGCGCCCTCCTCCTCCTACTTCGGCGGCGTGGACTGCAGCTCGTATTTAGCGCCCATGCACTCGCACCACCACCCGCACCAGCTCAGCCCCATGGCACCCTCCTCCATGGCGAGCCACCATCACCACCACCCCCACGCACACCACCCGCTGAGCCAGTCCTCGGGCCACCACCACCACCACCATCACCACCACCACCAGGGCTACGGCGGCTCGGGGCTCGCCTTCAACTCTGCCGACTGTTTGGATTACAAGGAGCCTGGCGCTGCCGCTGCACCCTCCGCTTGGAAACTCAACTTCAACTCGCCTGACTGTCTGGACTATAAGGACCAAGCCTCATGGAGGTTTCAGGTCTTGTGAGCCCAGGAGTGGGAGGAAGAGAAGAAACGCAACTACCTGCGCCCTCCGTGATCCCCGTCCTGTTGCTGCTGCTGCTGCACCGCCCGCCTTTGCCTCGGCTTCTCCAGACCCGAAATTTCATGCCCCCAAAAGATGCCCATTGCTGCACTGCCGCCCTCATCTTTGTGCCACTTGCTTGGGGGATGTGCAAACCCTACCCACCCCTTGGATGGGGGGACCGGTGCTTCGGCTTGGGCAACAAGTTCTATACAGGAGAGCTGTGTGCTCCCCTCCTCAGCCCCCACCGAACTCCCAAGTCGCCCTCTTCTAGTCTTTCTGGACAGTTACTGTGTATGCACTTGCAGCCTTCGGAGGCTTTTCGCTCTGTCTTGCTGTTTGAGCCCTACACTTTAATTTATTCTTTCTGGACACTGGAGTCACTAACTGGCATGTGTCTGCCTGTTGGGAGTGTACCCACACTCTACTCCAAATCAAAACAACCACTAAGCGTTTCTCGCCTGCAGACTGCCACCAGCCCCGCTGGTGCCCTCAGCTGCCCTCAGCCCCGCTCCCCGCCTGCAGGCCAGAGCCTCCTGGCATTTCCTCCTCTCCTGCCCGATGCGCTTGTAGGAGACCCAAGGGAGGAACGCGTCCTTAGCCTCTCGCGCACAGCCCCGCCCTGCGTAGAACTGGCTCAGGCTTCCGCCTCGGCGGGAATGCTGTATATAGTCAGGTCCGTTCCAGGGACCACTTAAACTTTTTAGTTGCTGTTGGTTGAACTGAGCATATCTTGTCTTAGAGCCCAAGAAATAGAACTTTAAGATATATACAGCATATATATATATATATACACACACATATATATAAAACAAAAGCAAAAAATATTTTCCCCCTGTCCCCTTTCCTCTCTTCCTCAAACGATGGCGCTTTTACTTTTTCAGTTGTTGCAAAATTTCCCTGCCCTCTCACACCTTCTCCCTCTGTGTATTTATTAAAGAAAATCGTTTGGTTTCAGGAAGCTGCGCATGGAGAATCGGGAGGGTCCTGGAGTCTGAAGGGAAGAGTCAAGTCAGGGCACAGAGGAGGGGTTAGGCTCGGAGGGGGCACAGGACTGAGCCCTTCACCAGGTCTAAGCACAAGGTCGCAGTTCTGGTTTAGAGACCAAAACCAAAAGAAAGCAAAAAGATAGAAATGAAGTATTATGGGAAAACAAAACAAAAAAAACCCAGGCCCCAAACCCGGGTTCAATTCCTCCGTCGGCTTCTCTCTCTTTAAAACCCCTGTTTTGTCTAGTGAGTTTTTAGTGCACCTTCATTCTCCGAAATCTAGGGAGAGCCCACGACTGTATATCAATTTTGGCTTTGGCCGTTTCGTCCAGTAGGTGGGAAAGTAATTTGTAAATTTGATTTGTCCGATGTGAAGATCGCAAATTACTTGTTGAAATGTAAGGCAGTCCCTTTCCTCCCCCCTTTATCTACATTATTTCCCGAAAATAAATGCAAATTAATGAACGGCTTGTCAGTGTTGCTTTTCTGCTTCCAGCCCAGGTCCTGGTCTTGGGTGGGTGGAGGGAACAAAAAAGAGGAAACCTCCGTGTTAATAACCTATGTGAAGCTGCAAGCCAAAGAAACTCTGTCCTAGGGAAGGTCCCCCCCACCCCCCCACTCCCCCCCGCATCGGTCAGCCCGGCCTCTTTCCCCAGGCGTTTTGACCCCGTATCCCCTCTCGCCATCGCGGACAGAGACAGGTGTCAGGACTCAATTCCCGAAGCAATTCCTTTCTCTTCAGAGGCAGGAGCCTGGCACTGATTTCTTCACCCTAATTGCCGCCTGCATCAGAAAGAAGGGGGGAGGGGAAAAGGGTCGGGAGGCGGGAAGGGATAGCTCTGTAATGCTCTCAGAGCTGAGCCAAAAAGGAAAAGAAAACAAAACGACAAAAAAACCGATCCGTGTCTTGCATGTTGCCAACAGACAACCTTCCTTTCTGCTGAGCTATCCCGAGTGGCTTCATGGCGGCTGGGGGAATCCGAGTCATCCCTTCCACGTGCTAAGATGTCCCTTTAAACCTGCCCTGCCTGAAGTAGCCAAACTATCTTTGTTCGTATTAAAAAGCAAACACAAAAATCTAGAAGAGTCGATAGGGACGCGTTTCACTTTGGCAGGGGAAGCAGACTTCTGGATTGCAGCAGGGGGTTGGAAGGAGGGTTCCACCTTCCCCCGAGGAAAACAGGGGTAGAGGTGGGGGTGGGTTGGAATGATGCTCCAGAAGACCCGGAGTCCCGACCCTTTTTGGTCTGAAACCTCCTGGGCGTAAGGCCCAGAAGCTGCTCAACTTGTCCACAGGAGGGAAGGAAATAAGGAAACAACGAAAAGTTTCCTGCGAAGTGACCGACACACCCTATTCTTTTTATTCCGTGTGAGACCTGAGAGCACAACTTGAGGCCGGGTTTGAAGAACGACCCCTCCTCCGGGGTTCCGTGCCGAGCTGTCTCATGGCTGCGAGACCCGGCTGGAGTGAAGCTTTCTCGGATGCGTCCTCCCTCCGGACTCCGTAGGTCCGGCTCGGGCGCACAGCTCCTTCCTATTCTATAAATAAGCCCAGCAGCCCCCCTACTCCGCAGAAGTCCGCAGGAGGGCGCAGCCGCGGCCTCGCTGAGCGTCACCCTGCGGCGCCGCCGGCGGAGGGAGACCCGGTGCGCAGGCCCGCTGTGCGCCGTGGCCCCTGGGGTGCGCGGCCCGCACGTGCCGGGGAGTCTGGGCCGGTGGCCGGAGCAAAGAGGCTTCTCGCTCTCGCTGCATGGGCTTGGGCGCTCGGGCTGCAGGATCTCCTTGCTTGACCGACCTGCCTGGCCTGCCCCAGTGCCGCCCTGGCTCACGCAGCCGCCACTAAGGCCGCTCCAGGCCTGTGTTCCGGGCAGCCCGCGTCCGCAGCTCCTTGTGGCGGGTTCTGTGCGTCCCAGCAGTCTTCCTGACTTCGCGGTGGAATGAAACCACGAGACGCGGCTCTGCATTCGTTTGGACAACTGTGTGACCTCCGGAACAAGGTACCCAACCCCCAGGGCCTCATTTTCGTCGCATTTATTATTTGGCCCCACTCTGTCAGGGATGTTCCAGAACCTCACACTTTGGGCCGAGGCTGCGGGCAGGCAGGTGAAACGCATCACAGTGGCCCCGGCCACTCGGCGGCGTCTAGAAGCTTCGGCGCCTGCTTACTCAGGTAGATGTGGGACCAGCGGCAGGGCTCGTGGAGACCCGGCGGGAGTTCCCGCCCGGGTGACGAGGCCTCGAGAAGAGGCACGTGCTTCTCCCGGTGCTTCCCAGCCTGCGCCGAGGCCCGCGGCGCTGAGCGGAAACGAGGAGCGGGAAGGTGGTGGGGCACTTCAGGCCGCCGCGACGCGGGAGCTTGGGGGAGCAGGGAGGGTGCGTGGCCACCGGAGGGGGTGTGGGCGGCCGGAAGTGGCTGGACGGAGTTGGGGAGCCCACGCGGCCCCGAGTCCAGGCGGCGGCGGCGGGAACGCTGCAGGTTCCTCCCGGCCGGCCACCTGTTACTGGCAGGTTCTGTGAGAACCGCCCTCAGCTCCCCCTTCTGAGGGAAGAGGTTTGTACTCTGCATTTTGGTGTTGGTGACACAACACAAGCAACTAAAATTGAAGCAAAGTAAGACGATTAAGCAATTTAAGAACATTTAGTAACTTTAAGTGTTAAGACGTCAACTGTTTTGTTCCTTTGAGTGCTCAACGAAATCTTCGTGTTTTCTACTCATGGCTTGTATTCTCTGGTCAAACTTCGAAAGCAGAAAAGTCTGCCTTTCAGTGAACTTGTGTGAAGTGTTATATGGCTAACGGATAGGTCATATTTGTGATTTTTAAATAAGTTTTTAAAATTCTTGAAACCTCAGGAGCACCGCGTTAATTTCCTGAAGCTTTGAAAAGATTCAGTGAAATAACATTGTCTGTTGTAGAGCTTTTTATTATTTTATAGCTACTCAGTAGCTACTGAGGGCATATGGAGACATTTCTCAACATTGTAAAAAAAATTTTTTTTTTAAATTCTTAGAGCTATGGGATATTAAACGTGAGAGGAAAAACAGGTAAAAAGGCGCTGAGTGTCAGCAAATTTATGTCTGGCACATTACAGAGACCAAAAACCCGAAAGGATTTTTGTGTCAAAATTACTACTTTTTTCATACATTTTGATCAAAATAGTTCTTAGATAAGTTGTTTTTTGTTTTTTGTTTTTTTCAGTTGTGAGAATGGTAAGTTCATATCTTTGGCAGAGTAAATGAATGTTATTGATGTCATTGGGCACTGACAGGCACCGAGGTTTTCTTTAGAGATACAGAAATAAAATGTATCTGATATATTAAATGTAGTTAATATATACATTATTGGTAAAGAAAATCTGTATCATTACTATTCAAGACCCAAAAAAAATCACTTGGCTGCTGTTGCAGAATTAATTTAAGAACAGCATCAAGATTTATAAAATTCCTTAATTGAAAACCTAACAAGTTCTCAACGAGTTATTCTGTGTTTTCCATACTATTTCTCCCTTCCCCCATGCATTTTAATGTCGAAAATGAGAATGAAAAAGCTCATTAGCTCATTAATTTTTTAAAATTTATTTTTAATTAGAGTAGCTCATTAACTTTAACTAAGGAATATTTATATTCAATAGTACCTAAAATAAAAACCACAAACTAAAAAAATGAATGCTAAATAATAACAATGCATTGCTTATTCTGACAAGGAGAAAACATCTCTATTTAAGAAAGAATCTGTTTAATTAAACGTGTGAGTGTCTCGAATACACTTTTTTGAAAAAGAGATTTTGTGGGGTTTTTTGGTGGGGGGTGGGGCTGTGTGTTATAGATGGTTCCTGAAAAATCAATTTTACCTTAGTCATCCTGTTGGTATTTATTGATATATGAAAAACGAATTGGATATTTTTGGTGGGAGAAGGAACCATGCGATTTTGACTTAGTAATTCTTTAATCATGCTTTTAATGAGTTGGATTTTGCCTTACTTCAGGTGCAGTCTTTCAAAAGTTTTTGAAAATAAAAAATATTTCCTGAAAAACTTGTGGTTGTTTAGGTGAAATGGCAGTTATGTAAAATAGTCAAAGTTGAAACTGCTGTTAAATATATCCAGCAAACAAATGTATGGTGTGCTCACAAATAAAATGTATTGCCTAATTATGAAACTTACACATTCATATTTCTATAACCGTTACTTCAAAGATGGAAATAAGATTTAAAATATTTTGGAGTTTTTTCTAATCAAATAGTACAATTAATTAAATGACAACTTTCAAAATTTAAACATTGAAAATCTATTATTAGTTACTAAAAATTGTACCCCTCTTACTGGCTTTGAATAATTTAATTGGTGACTATTTGAAATAAAAGACACAAAGTTCCATTCCATTCCAAGTGTCATAAATACTTCGTTTTTCGAAGGTTAATCTTATTAAACATCTTATAAATACTGTTTCAGGAAATTTAAAAAATACTTTTAAAGTAGATTGTGAAATTAGGATTTAAATGCTGAATCACAATTTTTCTAGGATTGAAGTGGAGTGTAAATAAGTCATAAGTAATTTTGACATTTGGGGTAAAGTTAATTAAAATGTAGGAATAAATGGTCTTTGATTCAACAACTTGGTGTCTAAAGAGCTTATAAAATATTTTTAGTACACAAATATTCTTATGTCTCTTCAAAGTTCGAAATGCTTATAAAGATATACCATCATCTGTCATAGCTATTTAAATGCAGGAATCATACTTTCTTTTTAAAGTTTATTTTTAAAACTTCATTTTGAAATATACATACAAAAGAAAGTATAAAATGGGTTTATACAATTTAAAGAGAAAGGAAAATTTAAAAGGAACAAGAAGTTCTCAAATACTTTAAAAAGTAGATTTGAGATAAGTTCTAGTATCAGTGTTTAAATTTGATGTAACATAGATTATGTCTGTTTATGTCCCAGGACTTTTTCTAAATCTTTTAGTATAGTGACTATTAATATATAAGGACACTTTTTAAGGCAGAAAAACAGTTAAAATCATAGGATGTAAAAGTTCCATAGGCCTTTGAAAAGTCCACAGAGTTTCTTTATTCATAAAAAAATTGTGTTTTATATCTCCTTATATTTTATGACAAAGAAGCACCAAAAGAATCTATCTTCTTTTTTCTCAACGATGGATATTTGACCTTATCCAAAGCTGTGGCTTTAACTCTTGATTTCATTGCTGGTGACCCTCAAATCCATATCTATACCTCAGACCTCTCTGTTGGACTTCATATACCTGTACATACACTGAAAAGAGGCCATAATATGATGTCTGGGTCTTGCTTCATAATAATAGAGGAAGAGAGGGAATGGTTGGAATATAAATTGAACAAGATTATTATGAGTTTTTAATTATTGAAGCTGAGTGAGAATACATATAATTTCATTACACTCTATTTTTGTCTGTTTAATTTTTTCCATAATAAGAGATGAGTGAAAGTATTCATTTGTGGAAAGTAGTTTTTGCAGTATATTGAGAAAATTGAGTTCCCCATCTTTAGAGTCCCTACAGTATTGTTCACATATATTACTTTCTTTATCTGCTCTCAAGTCTTATAAGGTTGGTTGGTGTGAAGCTTAGGGTGGTTTGATTATTTCCTCAAGATCACATAGTTGGTAAGTGGCAGAACTTGTCAGAACTCAGTCTTCAGATTCCATGTTTGACTATAGGAGCTATCTAAAAATTTCAACATGTTAACAATTAATTTTAAAAAAACCCACCATATTACGTACAAATCAGATTACCAGACTGATGTCAACGAAACGTGCTTTATGTAAGTTCAAGTTGTAAAATTTGAGTTTTGGTAACTGAAATTTATTTTCTAGGACATTGTTACATGTATCTTTCTGGGCATCTCTTCACTATTATTTAATGAGTGTTCAGAAATATATTAACAGAGCATGAAATGAAAAGACTAGTCATACCAGGTCTATCTCACCTTTTAATTTCTTACTAATACTTAATGTCTAAGTAATTTAAAAATTATTTTACTGTTTGTTTCATGTTTATGAGTAGTGTCTTTTATTCTTCGCTGAGCCTGTCTTGCTCCTCAGAAGGTTGCTTTACTATGTTCTAGGAGGTCTAATACAGGGAAAGTTGTATAAACCAGATATAGAATTGGGATTTGATTAATGACTCTGTAAATGAGGCTTCATTTGTTTATAAACAGGTATTTGGAATCTTTTTTGTAACTATGCTAACTTGGAAACATCAAGTTTTTAAGTTTGTGGTTTAATTTTTAAAATCTCACTAAACAAATCCTGTCTTTTTAGGGTAAAATTTATTTTTCAGAGTTAACTCCGCAAGGTAAAAAATGGTTAACAAGTTGGGGAATATAGATTGCATAACTTTATAGATATTGGTTTCCTTTTGTTGAAAATAAAAAAACAAGTCTTGTTTAAACAGTATCATTATTTCTTCAGGTTTTAAAAACCATTCATCTCATGCTTCCATTCCTGCTACTGACCTCTTCAGTTTGCTTCTTATTTGATGTAGAAAAGCAAAGCTTGTCTGTTTGTGCTTATTAATGTTTGGAGAAGAAAAAGCTAGTATCTCTTTTCTCCCTGAATTCCTTCGTGTGAGGCATGAACCATCATATACTCAGATCAGCACCTGATAATTCCTGCATGCCTTTTTATTTGTATATTTTGGAATTGAGAGTCTCCCCCTGACCTGAGATTGTATTCCACTCCATAATACCTAAATCTTTTATTCCAAAAGGGATTAGAAGACAGTGGGGGTCCTAGAGTGAGAGAGAGAAGTATAAGAGATAGGACTAAGTTTTCCTTTACTTGAAGTGCTTGCCGCCGCCGAAGATTCATGGTAGGTCTGTTTGTTGAGTGAATGAAAGAATGAAATCCAGTCATCATACTTGTAACAGATATAAATGTTGTTTATCTCAGATACAGAGTTGCTTTTTATGTGGTATTCAGTTTAACTGGATTCCATAGTATGTTTTCTTAATCTCCTTAATCATCTTTAGAATCAAGATCTTTTTGATTACTCTTACATCCTTTGTTAGATGTAAAACCATTTCAAAGTCTAGTTCATTAAAGTTTTAAGTTATGAAATATATTTTAAAGTCCACAAAATGTGTATGTATCTTTTATCAATTAGTTGTCAACTAATTATTATGAAATCACCACATTAAGGTCAAGGAGTAGAGCATTATCGTGAGCATGCTCGGTTGTGGCCGACTCTGTGCCCCCTGGGACTATAGCCCAGCAGGCACCTCTGTCCATGGGATTTCCCAGGCAAGAATACTGGAATGGGTTGCTATTTCCTTCTCCAAGGGATATTTCTGACCCAGTGATATAACGTGCATCTCCTGCATTGGCAGGTGAATTCTTTACCAGTGAGCCACCTGGGAAGCCCACAAAGCATTATTGGGATCACAGAAATCCCTGAGTATTTCTTGCCCATTACAGTCACTTCAGTCTCTTCAGGGGTAACGGCTGTCTTATCATTTATAGTAATGGTTTTCTTGCATTTATTTCTCTTTTAAAAAATTGATCACCTGTACATGCATTCCTAACTGGTATGTATTTGTTTTGACTTTTATATGAATAGAATTACTTTTGTAACTTGCTTTTTTCACTTAACCTTATGTTCA